CACATATATATCGCGTTTTAAACGTTAAACTGTTTTATTGAAATGTGTACTACCTGCGTAAACTAGACACGATATTTGACTTTTTGTTTATTATATATAACTTCTTTATATTCTCAAAATATGTATATTACAATTTACTTATTTTGGCACTAAAATACGAAGCTTAAAACAATATCTGTTTCAACATAGTTACTAAGATATTTCGATATACGTTATATATTTTTGTTGCTTCGTTATTTTGTCAGTTTAAAATATTCCTTCATAATTTATCCGAGATCTTAAGTGTATTGATAGTGATATAATAAAACAATACACCTGCAGTAGAACATTAACATTTAAGATAGCTATATAAGAAATTATAGCTATATCTTATTTACACGTGTAAAAATTGTTACATGTTTTTTCACTTACAACATTCGTTAAAATGTTCCATATAACTTACAAAGAAAATCTCCATGTTGATAATAATGCGAGGTTAAAGTCTTTATTAGATACAGAGCATTTTTATATTAAGTTTGATATAATAATCTTAAAACATATATACATGATAAGCTATTAATGAAATAGGTTGCTAGCACTCACATCGTATATTGTCGTCTATCCAAAACTAATTAATACGACAGAAATACAACACAAGTTAAAATCTCATCGGGTACGGATAAAATTATTGAATAGCGGACGAGGTCCTCAATGCTAGAGATATTTTATAGTCCCGTGGGCGAGGAGTGGGCTCCAATTTGTCCGCAGTTTTTAATTAGTATGGATGTGAGAGAAAACGAATTGTTATGCTTGCTCTAGTGCGGCGTGAGTTGTTTGACGCGAGTACTCAGTTTTGTTTGAATAACCTGTAACTTAATGGTATAGGATTTTTCCGATTGCAATAGAATATAGACGAAATGTACGAGGGCTAGATGTTGACATGGAAATAACGCGAATTTATTTACATATATTATTTATTTATTTTTATTATACAGACAATCTTGGGATTCATTTGATGGTAGGCGACATACCCCAGTCATATAACGTCTAAACAAGACGCGTCGTCTACGTTTGCATATTCGGAAGTCTGGACGGATTTTTCGATATTTCAACCTCCCGTTTAATATCCAGATTTCCAGACGAATTCCAACGTGTTTCAGAAAATTTGAAATTGAACCCAGTGGGGATCGAATCCACGACACGTTGATTATTAGCCATACATTCCTATCATTACACCAAGTAGCTCGTTCACGATAGAATAATTCGATTCAATTTTAGGAACGGGATTTGAAACATACTTGATATTTGTTAATGTCAGTCTATAACTGTACTGTTGCACAATATTTGTATTACGAACTGAGAAAATTGAATTCTCGCGATTCAAAAATAGAACAATTCAATCGCGTAATCGAACTCTTGGACGTTCACGTAATAGAAGTTTGGCGATTATGAACTTAACAATAACACCTAATCAAACTCAGGCGGCAAGTCTAGCCCCATGGCCCGAATGGGACGGGGCGATGCAGCGTCTTCCGCCCCCGGCTCTAATTAGCTTCACATTCTCATTCCGTTTTCGAGTTTAATTTCGCCGGCGGTTTCTCCCTAATTACATTATTCGCGCACCGCTGTTGTTCTTAAGCCGGAGTTAAAATGTGGATTGACCGATCGTAGCAAACTTGGTTTACGCGTGACCAGGTCCGTTAATCTTAACGAAACTACTAATGTTGAAATAATCGCGTTTTAAACCGTTAAAGTGTTTTATTTAAATGTGTACTACTCGCGTAAACTATAGACACTATTTAACTACTAATGTGGTATAAAAAGGCTTACGTAGATTTTTTTTGCGTTATCTTTTAAACTAAATATTATATTTTATTAATTTTTTGGACGAAATCCCAACATAACCGCAGTTTTCCTCGCTCTTGCTTTACCAAAGTGGATAAGGAAGTTTATGGAAAGTGGGATACCCAAACCAAATAACATATCACTAAGATGCGCTGATATATTTTGCCTTAAGATATATGATAATAAATTTATGAACAACGTATTACGAATTGTTGTGAAATTATTAACATTTTAGGATTACTTATGAGATATAAAATATATTATATCTATAAAACAAAGAACAAGACCATGAGTACCTAATCATTCTTCATGAAACAATCTAATGGGGTAAGTAGATACTTACCTCATTAGATTGTTTCATGAAGAATTTTCTAAGACTTGTTAAGTCACTGTTAATTATTCTAAACGGAAACTCGTAATAAACGCGCTAACAAGATGACTTACACTTTCGACAAACATTTGAATGTGCAGTTCATTGCTGTAATTGAAAAAATCACTTAACAGGTATATAAGAGGGCTGTACGGTGGTTCGTGGTGGCTCTTTGTTGTCGGCCGGTTGCTAATAAGATTTTTAAACGCCAACAAAGTATCCAATCAATGGAGCTTGAATAATGAAAATGGCACCTGTAGAGGTTCCCAGGCCACCCCCCGCCTAAACACGCACGCGAGATCTGATAAACAATATTATGCATAAACGATTTATAATAAACATCATTTTGCAATGCACTCAAATCCGTGGTCGGTTGAAAGATTCAAATTGATATAATTTTCGTATTAAAATGAATCCGAACTGGTCTTTAAAACAAAAGAATATGTACAAAGTTTAAAAGTAAAACGATTCAAAAATTATTATATTCATTATGATAAAATATATTTCTTATTGTTTTATTGTTTCTTAACATATTGTTAAATAAGACAGAAAGAACGACAAACAAAGTTATGTTCAAATCACGATCTTCGAGTCACTTGTAACTGAACATGTGTTCACAAAATTAACGAAACAGACATCAATATGCCTTTGTGGAATAGGGTTGGCAAAAACGAAAGCAGATTGAAAATTTAAAACAACAAAGGATGTACTTAATATCATTTTTATAGTAATAAAACAGTATAGAAATTTGTAGATGTCCTGTCTGCAAAAACCTTAAACCAAATGTTTAAAAAATGTTATTATTATATGGGATATACGCTATTTGATTCTTTTGTGACCCTGAAGGAAATTCGATTAGATTTCATTCAATAATTATAATTTATGTATTTGACACTCCTTTAATTATTTAATATTATTTTAAAATATACATGTACGGAACACAAGATAAAAAATACGTAATATGTTTAAAAACCGATTATTTTTATTGAAGCACACGATTTGAAGTCGAAAGCTTTATATGTTAAAACTTCGTATCCTTAAAAAATACTATTAATACTTTTTGCTTGGGTGTCAACCAAAAAGAGATATATAATAAGAAACATGGTATAAAGGTGGGCATTGTCTTGCAGAATTTCTCATTTGGTGACAACCCTATGACATCGCGTATCCCGGGTGCGATTTAACGAAGTACGATAGGCGCACGCGACGCTTGCTCATTAGTACGCACGCAAGTCGACCGTGCTGCTACACGCCACCAATACTAGGCCCTTATAACCTTCATTAGACGTCCCCGACAACCAGTAATGACCTTCCGCACCTCGCAACAGACACTAGACGAGATCGCTGCTCCCGCTGCACCGCGGACACGCTTATTATTCCAAACGCGTCGCGCAAAAACATAATCCACCTACAAGCTCTCATTAGGGCGGACACAGAAATTAAGCAAATTAGATTCAAAGCAAATCGCTTCAAAAGAAAAGGGCTACTGAAATAATTGTCTACTTTACTCTCGGCGAAATAGAATTACAATCTAAATTAATTACGCTTTTAAAGCGTCCGTTATTCTTAATTAGTTTCTGCACCGCAACGGAAGCACCCGCGCCCGCCTCGCGTTCTCTTAATGAAGGGTAGTTTGAAATCAGTGCGTTTGATCAACTCTGTGCAGTCTTAATTACGGCGCCCGTTCTGCGCGGGACAATCCTGTTATTTATGACTACATAAGCTTGATTATTCTTTAATGAATACTTGTTTTAAAACGTTTTAATTAAGTTTTATGGCGACAGGATGGCTCAGACGACGTCCCGCCGCTCCGCCGGCCGCCGGCTAATTGGATCGGGTTGACACACCCCCGCCCCGCGGCCCGCGGCCCTTCCCGAAACCCCGCTACGTTTCTAATTGTACCAAATTGTTAATTGGAAAATTTTATAAGCGCGGCCGTCCGCGGCCTATGCCACTGCCGGCGACCGGGAGGTCGAACAGAAATTAATTTTAAGGGAACCCTTTCGAAATGAAATATACAAAAATATTTTACGATTTCTAACCGTCGCCTCCGGTTTCTGCTGGCACATATCACAATTAATTAGCTCTACCGGTGTAGCATCTTTGACGGGCTTGTAGGTGTATCTAATTTTCCACGGTCAAAATGTTTTAATCAATTTGTAATTTTTGAACATGTTGGACTTTGTCTGGAAATCTGGATGTTTTGGGGGGAATATCGAAATTCCGTCCGATCACGAACTTAGATGAAATTTGAGTTCGTAGCGTTTCGATTTCAATCTGTGTATTTCCAAATATCCAAAGCCAAATTAGGTCGACGGCGCATCTTGTTGAAATGCTATATATGGCTGGGGCATTTCACCTTCCATAAAGTGAAACCGATGCTCGTCTGTTTACCTCTATCATAATAAAAATCTTTGTATATAGTTGAAGTACATAAGAAATAATTTCAACAAACTCCATGTTAAATACTATCTGTTGTTTACGCGAGCAGTATTTAAATAAAACACTTTAACGGTTTAAAACGCGATATGTATTAGTTAACTTTTTGCACATTATTTTAAGTACGGCCCGACGTTTCGGATGCTCTGCAGGAGCCGTGGTCACGGAGGGACAGATCTATAATATATATCGCGTTTTGCACCGTTCAAATGTTTTATTTAAATTAGCGTACATTTGTTAAGTTTTGGTATATTTTTATTTCATTCTAAGTAAGCATTGTTTTATTTGTCACCAGGGCGTGTAGTTGTGGTGGTCAGTGCGAGCGGTCTCCGCTCCAACCGCCAAGCTGGCAGCGAGCGCGCTGAGCATGAACCCGCACTACCACGGGTACGCGGAGCTGAGCTCACCGCACCCGCCCTCGCCGGAGGCAGCCTTCGCCGCCAACGGGCACGACTACCCTCACAACAACAACAACCCGGCCCTCAAGGAATGCGCAGGATGCGGCGGCAAAATCGTAGAGAGATTCCTCCTCCACGCCCTAGACAGATATTGGCACCACGGCTGCCTCAAGTGCACGTGCTGTGGCCAAGCGCTGGCGGACATGGGCAGATCGTTCTACTTCAAGGGGGGGATGATATTATGCAAAAGCGACTACACAAGGTAAGCCACCACCATCCCTTTTCAGCGATCGCTTTCAGCCAATTACTCCTAAGCAATTACCCTGACTAAAAATACGTTGTAGAGAAAGAAAGTTAACAAAATAATTGGCTTCGCTGCGAAGCTAGTTATCTGATTTCAGAGAATAAATTGTTGCAAATACCGATTTAAAAATACCACTTCAGATTCAGCTCTTAATAAAATTAATTTTTTTCTCTATTAGTTACAATTAAAGAGATGTTTTTAGAGAGATTAAAGAGATTTTATTATTATATTTATAAAAACTATAATTGCCGTTCAGCATTATGTTAATTACGATAATTTACATCTGTAATTGCCATTAATTAATGAGCTTGAATGGACGGCGCAACACCTACCAGATACTTGTAGTACTCGTCCCATAAATAACTTTAACATCTATTCCCCACTTCAACGAGTCATTAAAACGCCAATGCGATAATGAGAACATAAATTTGTTCATATTACGACGTAAACTTAATAAATACAGTCCGAACAACTCCAGGTGATTAAGGAATAGCGTGCGTTTACCATGTTTGAAAAATTTAATTAGTGCCAGAGCGCAGGAATCCGCTGCCTTCGATCTTTCCCATCGATCGTCAATAACTTAAGTTTTTAGTACGTCATCTAACGATGACAATAGCGTGTCTGTCAAACGTTTCGGAAAGCAAAAAAAAAGTATACCGAGAAAGCCGCGGGCGCATTGTTATGAAAATCGGAGCCGTCGTATTTCTACCTGAGTGTGGGACAAAAAGTACGCTTTTGCACAGAGCGGCCGATCGGCGGAATCTCTCGAGCCGACTAAATTGGGGACGTTAAAAAACCTTCAGGGCTAATTTAGGTCGCCGGTAGCCAACTTCTTAGTTTATTTTGTCACTAATTAACTGCTGTTGTACCTACCGCGTTCGCTCGCTTATAAATCACGATGCGTTAGTACACAAAGAAACGTCATGTTTTATGTCACTAATGCAGGACTACAGGGCGATTAAGATTGATGAGATACACAGTTCGTTAGTACACTCCGCAAGATTAATTAAATCTTTCCAAATTTAATCTCCCTCAATCCTTATTTACAACGTAAATAACGTGGAAGGTCTGAGCGTTTCTCGTATACAGCGGTTCTATTTAAAACTTGCTATTCTCTCGAAAAAATTGTAGGGAAACAATTAATTAAAGAAGTTGTTTGCTCAACTTTAAAGATATTATGAGTTGTAAACTTATAAGCTGTTTTAGCTTACTATTTTCGAGACTGCGAGACTGGTGTAAAATGCAGTTTTTAACGTTATTGCTATCGTACGAGCGCAGTCGGCGTCAGTCGGAGTCGGTTCGCACGTGGACCGCAGCTGCCTCAAGGCACCCTCGCGTTAATTAGTTGAACGCGAGGAATCCATCCCAATTAGCCAAGTCCACCACCTTCCCCGGCGTAGTTGCCCTCGCATTATCTCGTTTACGAAGCTACGAGCGACTCGTTTAATCCGTTCGCCTAATTCCATCGAGTTAAGGGAAAATACGAATTTACTTTCCACTGATTTCCCTTGTTTACCGGTGGTCGTGGAGCTAACTAGGAGAGAAGAGTGGGCCGACCGCGACGCTCGTGCGTCGTAGATTCGATAAAGCTCGTCTCACAGTTGACAGAGACGACGCGGCCTAACGAGCGGGGCGAGGGGCGGCGGGGCAAGGTGGGGGAATGAAGAAGTGCGGTTCCGTGCATGTCTCTGCTGATTGACCCGCGTCACTCGGCAAACAACAACTAACGAGTCGACCCCCGCGCCTCCAGGTACGCTCGAATCGCTCCCGTGGCGACCGCCCGCCGACTTCACTTACACGTCTTCCCTGATTGAGACTCCTTAACGAAATTAACGTTCTCTCACGCAAACAAGCGCCACACTCCCCCTTTGTCCCGATGATAGATTGTGGCTCCAGAAAGCCTGTTGCCGATGAATACACATGCTAAAATTGGGCATTAAATACCTATATAACCTCATTCGATTCCGTACACTAGCCAAGGTCAACAAACTTCTTTTGTTATGTAGTACAGGCTATATGACGTAACAAAAAGTTATTAGGACAGACAAGAATAAGTTTCACTTAGCTTTTTGGACGTGTAGAATCCATGGACTGCAACTGAAGAACTAAAGGTGACTCACGGCTTAGTCATTTATGGGTTCATCAATTGAATTCTTTTTATATTAATTCTTTAAATGTATTGCTTCGTAAAGTGTAAGCGACTACATACACGTGGTCTTACCTAACATATTTCACCATCGTTACTAATAACAACAACATAGATGTACACAACACACTCTTTAAATTTTTCCATTGTAATTTTATAACATCCGCATATCGTCAATCGAACAGAATTCTGGGGAAGTTTCGAGCAATCAGAAAACCACGCTCTGAGACGGAAACTCTAAATATTCAACATGTTTGGTCGAAATTAGCGTTTGGAAACCGACCGGTGTGGGTTATAATTGATGGTTCCTTTTAATTTTGGACATCCTAGATCGAAGGCTCCGATATACAGGCAAGCTTAATCAGTGCGACTTCCCTAGACGCGAAAACACATTTTTTGTTTATTTCCGTGTCTTAGAGAAAAATCAACGAATACATACGTTACGTATATACAAATCTTGCTTTAGATACAAAATAAAAATTAGAATGAAGAAAGGAAAATTAAAGGATTATGAGGAAGAGAGATAGGGGGGGGAAGGTGTGATATTTTTGTGTCCTGTCTGTAGTTGACGGGAGTAGTACACATTTCGATAAGTTTAACTAATATATATCGCGTTTTAAACCATGCAAGTGTTATATTAAATTTTTTGTGTCCGTTTTGATTTTATTTATCTTCAAGATTCCAAGAAATCTGCTTTAAGAGCCAGAGTGGCCTCATAACAAAAAGCATAATTTTCAATAAGGAGAACAATTTAAATTAACAATTTTCGGTCACTGTGCTCATGTAGATTAACATTATTAGACTATGTAAATATAAATAACTGAAGTCATAAAATTACAGTTAGGCTACTCTGCCTCTAGCTCATATATAACTTAGAAGTGCATCCACTCAATCCCTAGTAAGTAAGATAAAAATTCACCTACATCCAAGCTAAAAGACCGAGACGGTGGAGCACGTCCAGGCTTGAAGCAGGTTCGTTAGGCGTCAATCAAGGCAATTGCTGCTCAATCGGCAATCAGGCCGCCGCTAACGAGCCGCCTCTAAAACCAACTTCTTACTCCCTCACACTTTCGCATTGTTAACGCCCGCCACATTTGCAACTTACCGTCAAACTTCTTGAATATCATTTACGATTAAAATAACATCGAATTCGATATCCTGTAGTACAATATTACGATAAGTGTCTTAAAAATAAATTGGTTTGTATTTCTTAATAAATCAATTTCAATAAAACACTTTTAACGGTATAAAACGCGAAATATTCAAAAATTCAACTTAACCAATTTCTGTTTCACTTTACGACCATCGTTTCGTATGCTTTGCAGCAATCGCGTAAAGTACAGACGTTATCTTAATAAATATATTGTATTATATAAATTATATTTTACATTGAAACGTATGTACTTTTTGCAAATATGTTTGTGCAAGAAAGAGTTGTATTTAAATAAAACACTTTAACGGTTTAAAACGCGATATATTAGTTAAACTTATTTGAAAATGATTTTTATGAAGAGTTTTATTATAATTATATTATTTTATTGAATTGAAGCAAGATCGCGTTTGGATTTCATTACCGAATATCCAAAGCACACAGTGTATCTTGCTCGATGTTGTGTAATTGAGGTATTGACTTACTTACCATTTGAAACAAATTTTGATATTTGGCAGTTTTTTACTTAGACATTAGAGACACCCTCCATCGTTATCCACCCTCCGTCCCCCCTTAACCGTGTCGGGCCCTAGTTAAAATCATTTTGTAAATAAGTGTAACTAATATATTCCGCGTTTTAAACCGTTCAAGTGTTTTATTTAAAGGTGTAAAACTACAGACAGTATTTAGTAGAGTATGACTAACTCTATCCTCTTGATGACTAAGTTTATGAGACAATGATTTTTTACACAAAATACACACGCGACATTAACGAAGTAATCAGTGGGGTCTTATCACTAGATAAAATATGGTATTAACTGTCCAATCAATCAATTATTATTAATATTGCTATAATTAAAGCCGGTTCTAATTGCGAGATAGTATCCCTACATATTTATTAAACTTACCGTCATAGTTCCATGGTTACACGTTGTCAAGCGTCACGCAGGAGCGGTTCGAATCCCGGGGTGACATTTAATTGTTACGTTTTGTTGCTGAGCAAAAGTTTGATCAACTAGTTCCCGGAGAATATAATCAATAATTGAAACGGTCCTTCGACGGGCTCTTTTATATAATAGTACCAATGTACCTAGCTAGCAACGGGTCACGGGTTCCATTCGCACCGGGTACAACGCGTTTGCAAGTAATTAATTTAATTTTTTTAATGTTGGACTTCGTCTAGAAATCTAGATAATAAATCCGTCTGGGTCACAAAACACCGTCTGTAGACGGTGGTTTGTGACAAAAAGTTCACCTTAATCGCGTTTCGGTTTCAGTCCCAATATCCAAAACGGAAATAGGCCGTCAGCGCATCTTGTCGAGATGTTATATGAAGTGAACCCCGAGCTTGTCTATCCTCCTCTATCATAAAAAAGACACAAGTGAATTGTATGACCCACAGCGAACTGGGATTTCACTCGTTACCGCTTAATGTATGTATTTTATTAAACTCTTGTCCGAGCTCCCAATTTCGGTCGCTCGTTAACGCGCAAAAGACGCACGCTTTAATTGCAGCCGCCCGCCTCTAATGAGGCACTGTGTCCTCGCTCGTTTCTCTTGTGCAAATTGACATTGTACGCAAATTGATGTCGACAAACTCTCATCAAGATGCCAAACGTTTGTACACTAATATTTTTGCTGGATTCGTTTACATTTAGGCAG